AAAATAAATGCCTTTTTATAGGAAAATGGGGCTATAATTTCTTCATTTTATAACTAAGAAGTGTAAGGGTCTCGAAAAGAAAGCCTGTGCTGTTGATAATGAAAAATCACTCTCACCATTGACAGTATGTGTTTCCTAGAAATCAAAGAATTCTGGAGGATAATTTTGTTGAGCATGTTATTTCTCAGAGGTATATGCTTATTCTCCTAACCCTCTGTTTTCAGTTCATTAACTTTTATTCCAAACTTCAAAAGAAATGTATGCAGATCCTTCAACCAGATGAGGATCATTAGTTTTTTTTTTTAAGATTTTGCAGTTATATTGGGCTCAACTCATGGAATGTATTATATAACAGAAGTTTTCTCAGTTCATAGACTCCAAAGTATTATTTTGTTATCATTCATGATTACACTATGTTGTGAAAATTTCTCACTGTTCGTTATTTTGTGGTCAGCTTTGTAACAAGCACAGATACTTATTATATTTTCTGATATTCTTGAGACAAAGATTTTTGCCTTTTCACTGGAATTACCAATGAAACTGTATTTTATATAATTTGAAATAGATGCTAGTATATGTTATAACTCAAAATAAATTGTAATAGGCATTATTTTTAAAAAGTCAAGGAATGTAATTAACAAGCTACCCCTCTTACAGATTGGCTTGGTGTAGCAAACGAAGACGCAACAAACCTGGCTCCTCTTAGGTATCGTCATGTTCCCATCCCAGGTTCTAGTGATCCCTGGGAATCCTACCTTACCCTGGCCCTTGAGGCAGCACTCATTGGTCTGGGCCAACAGCGTGCTATGCCTCCTGGCCTCTATGCCCAAGAGAAGGCATGTAAACAAGAAGAGAAAATGATATTGAAGCTTCAAGAACTCAATCTCGATTCTCCCTTGTTGGCGGTTCTGCGACGGCAGGCCAGACTACTCTTGGAAGGTGGACCTTTCTCCGGCCTTGGAGAAGGCATTCACCCTGAGAGTGTGCCCATGCATACCTTTACAAAGTTCCTATTTTCATCTCTACTGCCACATGATCCAGACCTGGCATATCAGCTGGCTTTAAGAGCGATTAGGTAAGTGACTAAGATTTATTAAAGGACAATATTTCCAGTGTCTCTTAGGTTCCATCATTGAGTGTATTAAGCACAGTAATCAGTAATTTATAATAGGTTGCATTTTGCAAAATGTGTTGTCATACATTAATATTAAGATCACAATTATGCTTAAGATTTCTGATTTCTTGTACATCTAGCCACATAATTTCATAATTCCATAACAGCAACATTGTTGATATTCTCACACTAATTGATCTCTTTACTTTCAGACTACCAATTTTAGAAGATCATGATGATGTCGATGACCCAGTAAATGGTAATGTGTCTTCCTTGGTGCTGTCCAGGTACCCACGGTGGTTCACCTTGGGTCACATTGAGACACAGCAGTGTGCTCTTGCTTGCACCATGATAAATGCAGCCAAGAGTAAGTGTCTCCCCCACAATATAGTTAAAGGTTGAAATTTATGTGTATGTTTTAGATGGTTTTAACATTTGAAGATTAAATTTAAGTTAATTATATGTATCCATGTCTTTATTAGACTTTGAACATTGCATTCTTTAGTTATTTATCTGTATTTATGATTAAATATTCCAGTGTTTCTGTTTCCAGATGATATGATGCGGTTACGATCTGTTTTGGATGCTGCCTTAAGGAACATCCACAGTTCGTCGCATCTCTTCAAGCTTGCCCAAGATGCTTTCAGGCTTGGTCTTCCTGGAGAAGGTCAGAGGAACTCGCTCCTTCTGAACGCTGCTTTAGAACTAGGGCTTCAGGTGAGTTGTTTTTACATCTTAGTTGTCAATATGGGTTTGACAATATTGAATGGAATTACTCACAGGTTAACCTTAGGATTTGAGAAATAAAAAGAGGCAAAATTAGTAATGCATTTCTCTCACAGGTTATGCGAATGACCTTAACGTCACTCAACTGGAGGAGGCGAGAAATGGTCAGATGGCTCGTGACATGTGCAACGGAAGTGGGAGTGTCAGCTCTCATCTCCATCATGCAGAACTGGTTTACTCTCTTCACTCCAACCGAAGCGACAGGTGCGGTGGCGTCAACTATCATGAGCCACACTACTGTTATGCGCCTGCAGCTGGATCGGAGCAAACAAGATGAGCTTGCTGCTTGTGCAAGATCTTTAGCGTTGCAATGTGCCACAAAGGTAAATTATTCGTTCAAATGATTTTTACTTTTTTGTTTGTATAAAATGGATTAATTGTAGAGTAGAATAGTGAATGCTGATTTATTATTACTATTGTGATTATTTTATACTGACTTGTTTTTTTCTTTCAGGATCCACCAAATTGTGCCCTTAATGCCTTGACCTTATGTGAGAGTGATCCAGTATCATTTGAAACAGCTTATCAAGTTGTTGTTGATGCTGCTGCCCATACCATGACCTCCTCGCAACTCTTCACAATTGCCCGGTATATGGAACATCGGGGGTATCCACATCGGGCATATACTCTTGCCATGCTCGCCATGCAGAGCGTTCACCTGGCATATAACCAGGATACTCATCCAGCTATCAATGACATACACTGGGCTGTTGCGTTAGCACATTCCTTGGGACGTGCGGAACTATCTCAGCTTCTACCGGTGCTTATTAAGAATGTCCAGTGTGCCACAGTCCTCTCTGATGTGCTACGACGATGTTCCCTCTCTGCACCAGGCATGGCCTGTCCAGATTCCAAGCGACGACCTATAAAACCCCTGGCATTTGATAAAGCACCTCTTCGGGGTCTATTAGAAGCTACCATCTTGGCCTATATAAACACCACAAATTCCCGCCTCACTCATATTTCCCCAAGACATTATCAAGACTTTATTGACTTTTTGACTAAAGCCCATGAAACATTCATGCTTGCTCATGATGGACACATCCAGTTTGCACAATTAATTGAAAATATGAAAGTAGCATATAAGGGAAAGAAAAAGTTGATGTGTTTAGTGCGAGAACGCTTTGGCTGATGTTTAGTGAATCAGTATCAGCGACACTGCAGAAAATGCTACAGTAAAGCATTAAGTTCTTCCCATTGATCAGAAAAGTCATTAGTGTCATCTTGACATCCATCCTAAAAAACGCAAAGCCAAATCTGTAGCCGTTAAGAAAGTGATGATGAGTGCTGCCAAGAAAGCTAACTACTCGGGGCATTGGCTTATTACCTGCAGTGTATTGGTGATATAAACTGAGTATAATCCTATGTATTAGAAGTATGTATATTTGTGAGTTTGATTCTTAAATTAGGCATGCTCCATGTGCCGCAAGTCCATATTTTCTTATTGTTAACTGTCATGAAGTGGTTTACAGATTCACTTACTTTACATTGCAAATAAGCTAAAGACCCACTCCTAAGTTTCTGTACTACTGTGTAATAGCTCATAATGTCGCATGTACAAGCTCATTAACTGGCAGAAAAAGTCATTGAACTTATTCAAAAGGTATGTGGAATTTCAATAACGTGTGCTAAAAATACTATAATCCTCATTTTATTTTTAATACTGTGTATATTATTTATTCAATTTGCTTCTGCAAGTACTGTGTATTTATACCAAAGATTAGTGAGAAACAAATGGGTGAGCACTTTGTACCAATACCAAAGCTGCAAATAAACCCAGTAGACAGTGTGATACTATGCTAAGTGGAATCCCACCTCTTATGCCCATATCACGCGGAGTTGGCGCCGTCAGGGACTCCAGTACAAACTAAGGCAAAGTTCACAAACTCTCTAAAATGCTCAGGCTCACGTCACGGGACTCATCCTCAACATCTGTTGATGCGACTCAGAAACTTCAGAATAGTCAGTCATAACTGATAACCAAAAGAGAAGAGAATAAATAAAGAGCCTAAGCATTTGTTTATTGTGATCAAAGCCTATATCGTCAGGCTTCTCTCTGTCTCTATCCTGCAATAGAATGCGGGCCGAGGATACAGAAATTGGTTCAGATACCCCTGGAAGAGGTAACTGGTCAAACAAAAAATTCAGATTAAATTGATTTTCAAAAGCATATACATATTAAATTATGTCTTAACAACTGGAATTGGATATCAAGAATATTCTAAGTACACTTGTCTCCAGTGCAAGTGTTAGTGAAAAGCTTGTTTTAGAAAAAAAGGAAGCAACTATTGATGTGTTGGAAATACTAGAAAAACCTTTCCCCGCATGCTAATAATTTAAATTGTGATGTGGTTAAATGTTTTTGGCTCTTGGGTGTGGCTACAGAAAAGCTCTCTGTTCTGTATATATGATGGCCAGCGAGCTTTCAGTGGTGGATCACCTCTGCCTGAGGGTCATAATTACTTATCTCTTCACAAGTTATACTCACCAATGTATAGCAGGAGTGGCTATTGATGGAGACATGTAGTCGGAAATACTGTGTGCTACTGTAGTGCTGCCTCTCTCGTCAAAGTTACTTTCCGACGATAATGCACTTTAGTGATCTACCTCCATATTCTTATGTAGCAAACACAGCCGTGGCCTATGTAGATGGTTGTTTTTGTTTGCTGTCTTGCCATATCTTCAAAAGGTCCAGTGTGTTATGTATGATCTCATGTCCAAGGACAAAAAAAAGTCTCTTTCTAGGCTGTAGATTTCCAAGTTGTACATAGATGTGTGTAGTGTGTAAGGCGCCACAGTGCCCTATGGCATGATTGTTTTTAGGTCTCAGTTAGTGTGTTTGATCTTTAAGTGATGGTCATGGCCGTTTCTGTAGCAGTACATCTTTATCATTCCCCCTCTACGTCTTCATGAAAAAAGTCCGGAGCTTTACTGATATAGGATCTTGTCTGACACAGAAAGGGTTTTGGGGTCATCACTTGAGTAGGCTATGTTTATTTGTTTAGTCAAAAGATTTAAACTGTTTTTTGAGACATTTGATAGGCTAATAGTTTCATTAGTGTTATATTTAATGTGACTAGTGTTCAAGCTTGTTTCCCTTCTTTCATAGGAATTTCATTTTGTTGCTTAGTGTTACTAATGGTATTTAAGTTATTTATGTACAAACTACAATGTGCTGGTCGATACCAATGCCTCCCCAAAACTTCCAAAATGGCTACGTATTGTACATGTACACTGCTAGGCTGTAAGTCTTCTGTGTGATCTAACAGTGTCCCTGTAAATATTAATAATATCATAAATCTAATGCCCAACTCTGCAAAAGCTTCATGAGCCCGAAACTCGATGTTATGTGTATATATATGTGTACTTCCAACTAGCATATGGCAGCCATGGATATTTTTTTCCAGTGGAGCATATAAGTGCTAATTACTGAAGACTTTTGCCGCTGTGTTTATCGAGTTGTATAAAGAATGGGCAAGCAATACATGAAGCAGAAGAAATGTGTGACATATTGTGTATTTAATAACGAGCTGCATTGGTCAAGAAAATTACAAAAAAAGTATATATAATCAAAGCCAAAGGCTCAAGTTACTATGTCATGTCACTGTTTTGCATTTTAATGATATCACACCTACCCAAGGAATATTTGTGAACTCAAAGACAAAAGATAAGAAAAGATGAATGGGTAAAAACCACTCAGTATTTTAGATAGGTTCAACCTCATATATATATATCGTATTTATTTCATCATGCCGCCTCTGCCTAAATCCCTAGGTTCCGACAGAAAATCATAACATAAGCCATAGATCCATATTTGCATATAACCTCACGGTAGCACAAGGAAGAACCATACGAGTGATCATTGTTATATATATATATAGGAGTGATGATGAAAAATGCTGGAGTGATCATTATTTACATGATCATAGTCTGACTCATGACAATCTTAGCTAGAGGCATATCACTCCCGAAGTCCTTGTGTCTGAAGCACTTCAGTGTCCCTTTGAATCATTTGCTTAAAAAATGAAACTGTAAGATAAAAGTGACTCGCATGTGAATACTGTAAAATGCATGTCAATGCTTGAGAACTGTGTAATATATGTAGAAACTTGTAAATATTAGGGTGACTTGTGGAGGTCACTTTTAGCATTAGGTAGGTTATTTTCCTCTTTGTCTTCATCTCCGTCTCTATCTCTGTCTCTGGGCATACATATTATCCTCACACATTTGAAATCCCAGTGGATACCATTTGTTATGGTATGTCAGAGTTGTGAAATTCGTAACGAAATTCTGTTTCATTTTACTACCATCATGATTTTTTCTTTTTATTTATATATTTATTCATTTTTTTGTTTTCTTCATTCAGAGGGAAATAAAAGTATGTGTCTTCTTTTTACCTGTCATGTTAGTATTACAATTGTCTGTTTTTAAAAGGCAGTGGTAAAGAAATTTGTTGTTATCCTCATTTTTTCAGTTGTTGTTATTTATATGCCTTCAAAAGTCTAATTATTTAGTATTTGTCTGAAGAAGATGTGGTGTGGAAAAGTATTTTCAAGTAATTTAGACATGATAATCATTGTGAGTGATTGAAAGTGTGTGTAATTGAAGGAAAATGTGATGCGAAAGTTTGGTTGAATTATTTTCTTTACTGAAAAGAATGTTTGCTAAGTGTTCACTGCTAAACTGTTTTTGATACAAATCATATGTTACACATAATTTCCTTATTTTATGTGTGATTTGCAAAAAAACAAAAACAAACTAGAATTGAAGTGTACAGGATCTTTGCAAAGCCATATGCAAATGTCTACAAGTGGGTGATGTAAATGGTAATAAGAGTTTTTTGTTCTTGTTCTTTATTTAAGTTGTGCAGATTCCTAAACCCGACCATACATTTCACCCCAGTCCTTACCCACCCAACCCGAAAACCTACTACCCATTTTGTCCTGTCATAATTATTGTTTCTGCCATTTTTTACATTTGTATTAAAGACTTTACAAGGAGTTATCTCTTTCATTTCCCCACAAACTGTTGTTTTGATGTTTTGTTCTGAAAAAGAAATACAAAGTGAAAAACTATTGATGAAGAATTAAGAAAAAAGGTCTTATTTTTTAAATGTATGATGAAAACATTTTTCGGTTTTGAAACATAATTGATAATACTTGATATTGTCAATGAAATCGTAAGATGAGTAAAAATAGCAACTCTTTCAATGAACTGAAACTACATTTTACTGAAAAATAAGTCAACAAAATCAAACAGCTACAATTCAGAAACAATCAAGAAAAATGAATATAACAGATTTGCATTATTCACAAAGTATGGCTGATGCTGAGAGAGAAAATATGATTCATATGTGTAATACTCAATACAGTCTGGTCAAAATATCTTGGTTGTCATACTTGATAGCAACATCATTATTGAAATTTGCTCACATATCCTCTTACAAATGCCAATCTTTATCTGATATTGAATCATATCTATTATATCTAACAATAATGTACAAAAATTAAGATATACCTATTAATTTCCCTGGCAATGACAAAAGAAATGTAAATTCAAATGGAAATGACATCTTAAAACATATGTCTCTTACAAAGTGT